GCTACAACACTTTCTAAATAGAAATTTCAAGTATTTTGCAATAGAAACAGTACAGATCTTTGGTTACTCAATGCTCTGGGCTAGAGCTGAATTACAATAGGATTCTATATCCCACCCTTCTGCAATAAATATGCTTTGAATATTATTTTCCTTCCTTAGCTAGGTGGCCAAGTTGCTGAGAAGGGAGGCATTTGGAAGTTTGCAAGAGTCATTCTATCACAGGGCCTAAGAGGCTTTTTTTGGAACCAGCTCAGTGAAGCAAGATACAAAACTCAATTATATAAAGTAAGAGGCTGTACGTCTACAGTAGTTTGCAAGTATGATATATGGGCTACAATCCATATATCAAAAGCACCTAATTAGATATTCAAGATGGATCGCACATGGGAAGAGAAATACATTTTAACCTAGTGAGGGAGCTTAATAAAGATAGAAAGTATGTGATTCATGATCTGAAAGAGGTTTTCAGAGCTAATTAAATGCTACTGGTTCAATTACTTAAAACTTGGCCATATATTATCACCAGTTGGGCAAAAGTTAATAATCGCAAGGCATTTTTCTTCCCATGGAAAATGTGACCTAGGTAAGAAATGATCTATTGTTGGTCATCATAAGAAAAACTCAGGATATATCCCATTATTCTTTCTTGCATATCATTAGGAAAATTATTCTTCTTTATGTGAATTAATTCTTTTTACTAGAGGCAGCATTTATGAGTAACTATTGGATATTTTGGGGAAACCATATTCTAGCAAAATACAAATGACCACTAGATGGCACTTTAATTTCACTTGACTTCAGGAATTTTGAATTGATGACATTTTATAGCTGTCAAATGAAGGGGTCTTTTGTTTAAATTATTATAGGAATTATTTGAGATGCCTACTAATAATATAAAAAGTCTTAACCCTTCGCTGAGATATTTTTCTTACATAAAGGCTGTATGAAACACAAACACTTTGCTTTGCTTTGTTTTCGGAGTTCCCCAAAATGGAATTACGTCATTTGATTAAGGGGAGGTTTAAAAAACCCCACAGAATCGCACAGAAATCTCTATGTCCTAGAGTTTGCTCTGCAAAGTATGTGTGTGTTTGTATCTATGTACATAAGTGCACAAATATAGAAAGCTTTGGGTAGAGCAACCTAAGTTTCAGCAACTTCATACAAAGCTCACATTCTGTCACTGCAGGGTAAGAGAAAAATTAAGTAACTCCAGCACAACCCTCATCAATTATATAGATTTTTTAAGAAAGATTATATTTAAGGTAGCAATCTTTTAATCATTTAAGATAGATTATATAGATCTTTTAAAAGATGGCTAGAAGTTTGAAAGAGCTCTTGCTGATAGTTAGATGTTCTAGTCAAGTGCAACTTTAAAAACAGCTGCTGAGATGAATCCTTATTCAGCGGGAACTACAAAATACCATCTTAAGAGCAGGGGTTGGCATCCCACCTTCCCCTCACCATCCTCCCCTTCCTTTTCACCCCTTCCCTTCCTCCTGTCACCACAGGTTGCTGCCAAATCCTCCCCAATATCCTGGCTTCACAGGCCAGAGAATCACTCTGCAGGCTGGATATGGCCTGTGAGCCTTAGGTTGCATCCCCTTGTTAATAGTATACATTGTATTGCAATGTAGGGCTGGTGGCCAAACCCTCAGTGACAAGCTGATTTTTTTAAAGGTATTTCTGTGCTGACAGATACCATTGGGGAATGCTGGGGCTTTATAAATCCCCCCGTGTGCCTATCAGCTTCTTTAGGCCCCGACAGTTTTTAAAGCAGGCCTTAAGTTTTAACAGCTGAGATGCATCAGTGTTTTGACTCAGTCTTCAGTACGTGGCATGTGTGTCCTCATTGACCATTCATACCACTAAGAATTGTTCAAGCGTCATTGAGAACCTAGTTCCCTATTCCTTGGAAAGTGAATATTGGCATTCTGCATCTGTCTTACTAATACACTCCATCAGGAAATCTCATGTAGTTAGCCACAAGCACTTGCTGAAAGCAGCACGTGTGGACAATGGAGAGGAACTGGTGCAAGTAATCAGGAAAACTGCAAACTGAGTTGACAAGTTAGCATCTCCTTCTGCTATTTGTTTACAAGGGTGCTGAGTAAAAGTTTTTATTTTTATCCTCAGCATGTGAGCACCAGTCAATCAACATGCCCAGTGTTGCTCAGAATGGGTCAAGAGTTCCAGCAGGTCATAATTAAACGTTACTTATCTGTGTCTCGGACGGCCAGAGCCGACTCGAGTTACGTTAGAAATTGGTCGTACGTTAGGGCGGGCTGGTGAATGGAGAGGCAGACACAACTTATTGGTTGTAAAAAACTTTACTCACGCTGCTTGCAATCACAACGCAGGTGGTCCGGTCGTCGGAACAACCACACGAGTTGTTCCAGCTGGCGGGCCCAACGCCAGTTAATCCGTCCGCAATTCGAAGCCGGCAGGAAAAGGGGTACGTCGGGGTTGCGCTCGGTGACTTGAAGAAAGATCGATAGGTGATCAGTCTATCGATCGGCAGCCGCAAGTCAGATAACTTCAGAGGCACTCTGCAGCGTGCTCAAAGCTCTTCGACTTGGGCGGAAGTCGCGTGGAATTTTAAACGGCCAGCGAACCAATTACTAGCCGCCACGTGTGAATAATTTAGCACTGGCCAATAGCGGGGCACGAATTTACATTCGAATGGCGGGAACTCTTTGCACCGTGCATTTCTGTGCTGCAAAGAAGAAATGCATCCTGCAAAGGAAACTGCAAATTGGCGGGAACTCTCTCCTACACGGAGGCTCTCAATTGCAGCAGAACACTCTGCCGTGCAAAGGAGCTCTCATGTGGCCAGGAAATTCCATAGTGCCGAGGCACCAAAATCACTGGGTTGTGACAATCTGGACTTAACAGATATGACAGCCTACACTTTCACCTCTTTTCTACAAAAGAAAACATTTCATGGCCTTTTTATCCATTATGTTAGTCAGCTGATGCCTACAGGGCTTGGTGAAATGACATTTGATTGTTGAAAGACGTGACTCTGAAATGATCTGCCCAAGATGATGATAAAACGATCGTGTTAGCTTTTATTCTTCCCTTTTTTGAAGCCAGTTGAACAATTTGGCCCATCTGTAGCTTCTAATGCTGGGAAGACATGAGAATTACATAATTTCCCTTCTGTTGTCTCTTCCTCCTGGCTTGTTACTTTTTGGTCTGCTTAGTATTGAATATTAAACATCACAGGGGCAGAGTCTAGCTGAAGTGGGTACGCAGCCTATGTCTTGCCTCCAGTGATCCATGAACTGATTAAACTTTGTTCTTTGTGATTTTTTTTAATTGCTTTTCTAATCTTTTTTTTCCAATGGCATCTCAGAGTTTGAACCACGTTTCATTTGTTATGAATATTTGTCTCCTAAAGGACCCTCACTAGACAACTGGTGATGGTAGACAGACTCCATTGGGCATTAGGTATGTGTAGGAATTGGATGTGTACACGTCCATGGGGCTAGATGGGATGCACCCAAGGGTGTTGAGGGAGTTGGGTGATGTGATTGTAGAACCATTGGCCATCATCTTTGAAAACTCATGGCGGTCACGAAAGGACCCAGATGATTGGAAAAGGGCAAACATAGTGCCTATATTTAAGAAAGGGAAGAAGGAGGATCCAGAGAACTACAGCCCAGCCAGTCTTACCTCAGTCCCTGGAAAAATCATGGAGCAGATCCTCAAGGAATCCATTTCTAAGCAGTTTGGAGAAGAGGGTGATTAGGAGCAGTCAGCATGGGTTGCAGTCAGCATGGGTTCAAGTCATGCCTGACCAACCCGATTGCCTTCTATGGTGAGATGACTGGCTTTGTGGATGCGGGGAGACCAGTACCTTGATTTTAGCAAGACTTTTGATACAGTCTTCCACAACATTCTTGCAGGCAAGCGAAGGAAGTACGGGCTGAATGAATGAATTGAGATGGATAGAAAATGGGCTGGTGCATCAGGCTCAGAGGGTAGTAATCAATGACTCGATGTCTAGGTGGCAGCCGGTATCAAGTGGAGTGTCCCAGGGGTTGGTCCTGGGGCTAGTTTTGTTCAATATTTTCACCAATGACCTGGAAGATGGCACAAATGCACCTTCAGCATTTTTGCAGCTGACACCAAGCTGGGGGGGAATAATAGATACTCTGGAGGGTAGGGCTAGGATTCAGAGTGACCTAGACAAATTGGAGGATTGGGCCAGAAGAAATCTCATGAGGTTCAATGAGGACAAATGCAAAGTCCAGCGCTTAGGACAGAGCAATCCCATGCACCACTACAGGCTGGGGGTGACTGGCTAAGCAGCAGCTCTGCAGAAAGGGCCTGGGGGGTACAGTGGCCAATCAGCTGAATATGAGCCAGCAGAGTGCCCTCATTGCCAAGAAGGCTAATGGCATACTGGGCTGCATTGGTAATAGTGTTGCCAGCAAGTCAAGGGAAGTGATTATTCCCTCTATTCAGCATGGGTGAGGCCACATCTGGAGTCCTATGTTCAGCTTTAGGCCCCCCACTGCAGAAAGGATGTGGAAAAGTTGGAGAAAGTCCAGCAGAAGGCAACAAAAATGGTTCGGGGGCTGGAGCACATGACTTAAGAGGAAAGACTGAGGGAACTGGGTTTACTTAGTCTATAGAAGAGAAGACAGAGGGGACTTAATAGCAGCCTTCAACTACCTAAAAGGGGATTGAAAAGAATGGAGCTGGACTGTTCTCAGTGGTGGCAGATGACAGGACAAGGAGCAATGGGCTCAAGTTACAACAAGGGAAGTTTAGGTTAGATATTAGGAAGAATTTTCTCACTAGGAGGGTAGTAAAACACTGAAACAGGTTATCCAGGTAGAAGGTCCATCCTTGGAGGTTTTCAAAACCTGGCTAGACAAAGCTTTGGCTGGGATGATCTAATTAGGACCAGTCCTGCTTTGAGCAAGGGGTTGGACTAGGTGCGACCCCCTGAGGTCCTTTCCAACCCTAACTTCCTATAATTCTAATTATGCAAAGCAGTCTTTGGCATTTGAGTACCCAGTTACATGTAAATCTAATGGAATTTAATCCAGATCTCAGCCTTAAAGCAAAAGCATCTTGTCTTTCTCTTGATTAAAATAATGGATTTCATATTTCCAAATACAGTTTGGAAGCAGAGGGATGGCTTGCATTCTCATTGGTTTCAGCAACAGTCTGCAGCTAAAACTGTTCAGAACTGTTCAACCCCATGCAGTAGATTATCCTCAAACGTCTTGAAGCAAGTTCATTAATAATAACACTTCAGCTTGAAACTATATTTCTGATGGAACAGGTTGAATGAACTGCCATATACAATCCCACCTATGAAGAGCAGGGGAGACAGGTTACTTTTAGGCCAGCCAGCCTGCCCTTTTTAGAATATTTTTCCTTTTTGTTTTCCACAAGGAAGGGTTCTCAAACTGTAAGCAGCAGACGTTTGGTGCCTTTTATAGTTTTTTTATTAGTCAATGCTATTCTTGGTCCTTTCGGCAGCACTTGTATTCACTATTTTTGGATTTGACATTCACAGCAAAAACACTAATGTATTTACCAACGTTGGGATATTTTGTTAGAAAAACATCTTCAGCAGGTATGAAGTGGCTTACCCCCATTTAATCTAATGCCGGGACTTAGTAGCATTTGTCACGGGTCAGGAGAGCAAGGGGAGGTGAAATCTCATTGGGATGGTGGATATAAAAGATGGTACAGTGAGGGACAGGGTCGAGGACTGAAACATGTGGACCACGGAGAATAGATCTATAGTCGAAAGCAAGAGCCAGGTGAGGTGGGAACAGAACCAGAGATGACTACAGAGGCAAGCTCAGAAGCAAAGGGATGTCAAAGACTGTGTGAGATCAAAGAGAATAAGAAAATGGGAAACGTCACCAGCTGCCGAAGGAGGTACTGTTTTCTGTGGATTGAGAGAGCCTTAGTTAAAGGGCAAATGGTTTTATTTGAAACTCTTAATACACATTTGCTAATTTGAGGAGCTACCGGTCTATGATAAAGAAACTGTTTGTTTAATAAGAGGGAAGGGAGGACAGATGTTTGTGAAATCTTAATCTGAAAAATACGGATTGTGTTAATAAAACTGAATTCAGCTTTTACAAGGTGTTTTAAGTATAGTTCTATTATTATTTAACTTCAGCTGTACTTTGCAACAGGCATGATGTGTGCCCAAATCAGACATATCTTTTTGCTGTAATAGTTAACTTGCAGTTAAAAGCAACGCCCAGGGCTATGATTGGTCAAAGAAACTGCAGAACAGATTTGTCTTTTTTTTTTTTTTAATTTGTTGCCATCACACACATTGCTGCTTTCTTTTTTCCAGGCAGGTTCCCCTATCTTTGTCTGTCTTTCACATACCAACATGGGAAATATTTTTTTTAAAATAGGGAGCTGTGTTTTTTAAATCACAAAGCCTGCTTGAAAATGTTAAAAAAATCCACTTTAAACTCCATGAACCCCCATGCCGAACCCTGCGCATGCCCAGAAGAGGCATCGCATTAGTTGGACCCGGCTCGCCCAACATCTGTATAGATCAGGCGCTTTAGTGGGGCTTTTTGGCGCTTTTATCTAATAGCTGATTGGCTCAGCTTTAAAGCTGGAAGGGGACTCTCTTAGATTCATGTGTTTTCTTTCAAGTACGCATCGCCTTGATGACGTTCCCACTTAGATTTGTTATTAAAAAATGCAGTTTCTGGCCATGTGATTCTTAGGCAGTCTGTGATGGAAAGTGGGATAATCCCGAACAAAACCACATTTGATGCTTTGAAGAGGATAATGGTGTAGCGCAGTTAAAGTGCTTTTGTGTCTAGCTTACTTTCCATGATTCTAGCTTTGTAATGTAAATAAAGTGCAACACCCTCGTCTACACGGGATGGCGCCAATCGAAGTCTAAATGCAGGGACAAATTGTGATGCTTGACTAGGCACCTTATTACAGTTCATCCATTATATAGCATGAGAGCCATATGCATGTATTAAATAATCAGTGTGTGCAGTTCATTGCAGGAATAATAAAGGCATTTACTTTGTAACATTTTGCTGTTTGTGGTACCTCTGGGCTGATGAAGTTCAAGTGCTCCCCCATCACGAATGAATTATTCCTCCTCTTATGTATTGTGATTAGTCCTACTTTATAAGTAGGGAAATGGAAGAAAGATCTTAGCACCTGTGAAAATCAGGCTATTATTTAAGTCCTACCTGGGATGGTGTTGCCTACGTTTTGGCCATTGTGATTTTCCCAGTGGTTAAAGGTCAATAGTGTGTTAGATTCAATATTTCTAACTCCCAGTTATCTGCTTAAGCTATTAAAAAATGCTGCTTCCCCCTTTCCCACCCTGCTCCACAGTCTCTCCTGGGACTGCATTTCCTCCCACAGTACTTGAGCAGGTGCCTCTCTCAATTGACATGAGAAACTAAAGGGCCTGTTTTCCTTGAACTGAAGTTCTCACTTTCACCTGGCACTAATTTTCCTGCAATTTATCTAATGCTGATTAAATAGATTATGAAAAAGGCTGTAAACATGTATCATTATAGCGTTTCATCCAAAACACTACATTTTATATGCTCCTTTGTCATTAATTGGGACTAATTTTCTCTCCAGAGCTATGTTGAATTTATCCTCCAGTGTCTTCTCCACCTCTTCCTCTTGAAGGGTCATGAATTCCACAACATCCATGTCCTCCTTGTAATTGTATGTTGTCTCAGTGAGCGTCCATCCAATTAATGCCCGAAACCCGTTTGTGGTCTGAATAGAGCAAATAGACTTCTTTGTAAACAAGGAGTCTGGGGACGTCTGAAGATACGTACATTGGAACTGGAAATCTGCCACCGTTCGTGGCTCAAGACTGAAGAAGTAAAGTTTCCTGCACTCTCTTTTTTCTAGAAGATCAGAATCAGAGAAGTGTTGATTGGGAATATATTGTTTCCTCCTTATTTTCTCATAGTACCAGACCCCATCGTTTTCTGTAAAGCGAAAGATGCCAGGAATCTGCGGCTGGTCTTTTCCAGAAATAAGTTCCATTGGCTGCCACATTTGACCAGACACGCCAAAACCTGCATCCACAATATAGGCTTTGCCACCAATAACCACCTTTATGAGAAGGTGGGTCATTCGGGTAGCATATGTGTTTTGTTGAGGATTGTATACATACGCCCCCAAAATGGTAGTATCATACCCCAGCGTTTTCAGAACCCAGTTTAGCAGCTGATTGTTTTCCATGCACCATCCACCACGCCTGTTCATCACGATTTTGTTGTAAACTTGGTCTAACTCCAAAGTAATAGTTTCCCCGCAGTGGATGCTTAGGTTTTCAAAGGGTACAGCTCGGATGTGGTGCTGGAAGACTGCAGTTAAGGTTTCCAGATCTTGTTTGTCATACGAGCCTTTGTATCCAGTTCTTGAAAAATACTTCTCAATGTTCATTTTTTCTGTAAAGGAAGTAACATTTTTTTTAATCCACATTATTTATGATGGTGTTTGTGAAGATCTTTCAATCAATGAGAGGTAGCAGATACATGTACATATATGCACATATCCCAGCACAACTCATACTTGGCATACCTGACTTTCCCCATTTGTAAACTGAGAGAAATAATAGCCCCTGTACATGTTTGTAAAACACTTTGGAACTGTTGGCTCTGAGGTACAATGTAAATGCTGAGTTGTAGCAGGAAGTAAGCTAAGCATCCCAGAGGTTCAGATGATTCAGATGATTATCATCAAATCAAGCTTCTGACCCCTTTGAGAGTTGCAGCTTTGTACAGTTTCTTATCTGATATAATCATTGCACAAACTCAATTATGATTCTAATTAGAGGCAATATAAGCTGAAAGACAAGTGATCATGATTGCTGTCCTCAGATCCCAGTAGTATTTACTGGGAGCAGTCAAAATGCTCATAGGCAGTTCACAGGCTCGCTGACCTTGAGCTGCTTCAAAAGTGCCTAGCTCAGCTCCAGTGGATCCTGACTGGCTAAGGTTTTTTGGCTCCTTCCCCACCTGGAGATGTCTCCCCTCCACTGACACAACCCAAGCTCAACTCATGATCTTTGTAAAAGTTATTCAGCGTTTTTTTATCACATTTTAGTGCCATTGAGAAATCAGGCATATCAATCTTCGCCCCTTCTCAATGGTTCATCATACATCACATCCCCATGTTCCAAGTTTGGCACTGTGTAAGTACCAGTATATTTCTCTGAAAGCAGGAACCTTATGTGAAATACTTTGGAGGTTTCCTTAAATTTCAATTGTTTCCTACATCTTCAAATGTTTAGTTTCTAACCCATTCCTTAAGCTATCCTGAAGTAATTTGCATCTGTAATGAAAGTTTTGTCAGCAACAAGAGGAAGATCAGGGAAAGTGTGGGTTCCTTACTAAATGGGAGAGGCAACCTAGTGTCAGATGATGTGGAAAAGCTCCCAAACTACTGCACCTGGCAGCACGGTATGGGGAGAGGAGGAGCAGCTAGCAGTGGCAAAAGAACAGGTTAGGAACTTTTTGGAAAAGCTGGGCGTGTACAAGTCCGTGGGGCCGGACGTGATGTGCTCGAGGGTGCTGAGGGAGTCGGCCAACGTGATTGCAGAGCCACTGGCCATCATCTTTGAAAACATGGTGACTGGGAGAGGTCACAGATGATTGGAAAAGGGCAAAAAAGGGACCATCTTTAAGAAAGGGATGAAGGAGGATCCGGGGAGCTACAGACTAGTCGGCCTCACCTCAGTGCCTGGAAAAGTCATGGAGCAGATCCTCAAGGAATCCATTTCTAAGCACTTGGAGGAGAAGGTGATTAGGACCAGTCAGCATGGGTTCACCAGGGGCAAGTCATGCCTGACCAACCTGATTGCCTTCTATGATGAGATGATTGGTTCTGTGGATGCAGGGAGAGGATTGGCCATGATAGACCTTGACTTTAGCAAGGCTTTTGATAGTGTCTCCCACAACATTCTTGCAGGCAAGCTAAGGAAGTACGGGGTTGGCTGAATGGACTGTAAGACAAATAGAAAACTGTCTTGATAGTTGGGCACAAAGGTTAGTAATCAATGGCTCAATGTCTAGTTGGCAGCTGGTGTCCCAGGGATCGGTCCTGGGGCCAGTTTTGCTCAATGCCTTTATCAGCACCCTGGAAGATGGCACAGAGTGCACCCTCAGCAAGTCTGCAGCTGACACCAAGCTGGGGGGAATAGTAGATACTCTGGAGGGTAGGGCTAGGATTCAGAGTGACCTAGACAAATTGGAAGATTGGACCAAAAGAAATCTCATGAGGTTCAACAAGGACAAGTGCAAAGTCCTGCACTTAGGATGGAACAATCCCATGCATTCATAAGAGCCGGAGACCAACTGGCTAAGCAGCAACCCAATGGAAAAGGACATAGGGGTTACAGAGGACAGTAAGCTGAATATAAGCCAACAGTGTGCCTTCATTGTGAGGTAGGCTAGCGGCATACTGGGCTGCATTAGTAGGAGCATTGCCAGCAGCTTGAGGGAAGTGATTATTCTGCTCTATTTGACACTGGTGAGGCCACATCTGGAGTGCTGTGTCCAGTTTTGAGCCCCCACTACAGAAAGGATGTGGACGAATTGGAGAAAGTCCAGTGGAGAGCAACAAAAATGGTTTGGGGGCTGGGGCACGTGACTTATGAAGAGAGGCTGAGGGAACTGGGCTTATTTAGTCTGGAGAAGAGAAGATTGAGGGGCAATTTAATAGCAGCCTTCAACTCCTTGAAGGCTGGCCCCCAAAATGGTAATATCATACCCCAACATTTTCAATGTGTGGCCTTCAACAAACCGAACATCCGTGAGCAGTCAGCACACCTGTACACACGATTACATTTACAGATATCCCAATATGCATCAGACTTGGTCTATTCTATTATAGACCCCCCCGCCCCTAAAGCCATTTTGTAATACAAAAAGCAAAGTATGTAATTTTGAAAGGTTGAATGATCTTTCCCCTCTTAGGAGGAAATCTTTTGATTATTGGCTAGTTTATTTATCTTTGCTTTATTAAGAATATACTGCAGCTGCAGGATGAAAAAAAAACTATAAAAAATTAATAAATTTTGAAAATAGATTGGAGACTCTAGAATGCCTGACTCCCAATGAATGCATCTGTTCCGTTCAAATGCAGCTGCTAATAAAAGCAAAAGCCAATGTCATTTTCCTACCAGTTATGCCATTTTTCAGAGCTATTTAGCCCCAGCTGGCTATAATTTGTTTCCTTTTCTATAGTTTCCATACACCATATTCTAGAAAGATTTTTCAATTTGGATTGCACACACCCACATGCCTCTAACCATACACACAGATAGTGACTTTAAAAAGGAACTTACTTGTAAAACAGCCCCGACGAAGATTGTATTGATTTATAGCCCCTTGCAAGATTTTTTTGGGGGGGTTGGGGGTTGGCTTTTGATCTGTTTGCTGCTGCGCTGGCAGTCAATATAGTTGAGAAGTGACATAGATCCAGGCCCTCTGCAAATGCTGTATCTTAAAATCCAAGAGGGGACAGAGTCCGTCTGAAACGAGTGCGTGTGTTTGGTCTCCAGTGATCCATGAGTTGATTAAACTTTTTCTTTCCACTGGTTAAAACCAGATCAAACGAGTTTTGTGTGTTTTCCCTTAAAAGTTGTTTCAGTTTTGCCTGATTTTTTTTTTAATTCCTTGTTGGACAGTTGGCTATAGTCCTTGGCACCACAGAAATCCCCTCTTCCCGTCTTGTGGAGAAATATATTTTTTAAGGTATTGCAGGATACATTTTCAAAGGGCATAATACATAGAGCTATTCTTTAGTACTAGACACTTCTTTTTTGAAACCTTGCAAAAGTTCCATCATGCCAGCCTAATGTGTTACAGATACACAACGAATACCATACAAGCACATCTTAAACATCACTGTATATATTATAACAAAATAAGAATTTTATTTCAATACTAATACTTGGCACTTCACATAATCAATGTAAAGATGTTTAATTCAATTCTGTTCATTTCTTAAAGCATCATAGGTACTCAAATACTTAGAAAATCAGGCCCTACACTTCTAAAATTGGGCTTCCAAATGTCGAGTGGTTTTGAAAATAGGACCCTGTATAAATTGCCTACAGTAAGATGGTTTCTGAAAAGGTACTAGAACGTAGGCCATCCAAGTAGCTCTCAACATCAGCCAGGGTAGATTTGATTTAAATCAAATCGATTTAAAGCGCTGGTCAGGAAGCCTCGATTTAATCATTGTTTTCTACAAAAACTGTATTCTTGTTGTTTGATATCCTCTATTCATTTAACTTCTTGAAACTGCACTTTTAGAGAGAGGTAAGGGCTTGGCTTCACGTACACAAACTTGCAGAGACCAGAGGGTCGTCCCTCTAATCTCCATATACTGCTGTGAACAAGGATGCTATCTCTGGAGACACAAATCCACCATTTGAGAACTGAAACTAAGCATCACAGAGATGCTTAATGGGATCTTCTAGACTGAGCACTGAGTCCCATTGGGTAGAGTGGGGGGTTTTTTAATATTCACAAATCTACAGAGGAGCCTCTGGGAACCCCATAAAATTGGGCACCTAATACAGTCCATGGCCTGTTGTGACCTATTTATAACACTTTCCTAAAAAGCTTACATGAATATATGTCTCAAATAGTATATAATTAGAAGTTACAATCCCTATTCCATTACGGTATCTTTGAGCTTTAACATCTCTTAAATAAAAACTATCTTTATATAGGGTTGCAAGATTTTTTTTAAAAAAAAATCATCTTAAAAAATTAAAAATACGATTAAATCAAGAAATCTGATTTAAATAAAATTCAATTTTTGGATTTTTAAAAAATCATTGATTTTTATTCACCCTGACTCCAGCGAATAATTACCTAATGATCTATTGTTGAATTGTGGGTTGTTGAAGAAAAAAAAAACCACTTCGTTTTCAGTCTGATCTGTTTTATGTCATGTGAATAATCCCTACGATTACGACTGGACAAGCTGAAATTTAAATTGTGTATGAACTAGAAATTGTGTATAAACTTTGTGCAAAGGGATGGCACAGTCCATCTTGTATTCTACATTAGGTTTTAGTCACCCATATCATAGTAAGAAATGTCAGAAATAAAAACATAAAAGAAGAACAAAAAACAATATAGATTTAGAAATAATTTCTATAGAAAAAAAGGAAACAAACTGATTTGATTTGAAAAGGTGAAGAAGTATGAGGAAAGATAAGACACGGATGCATACAATTAATAATATAATTAAGTTTCCTGGATTTCAACTCAAAAACTCAACTTACAGTCACTTTAATGATCTTTTAAGGTTAATATTTATGGGGCATGTTATGCTTAGATTTTAAAAGATCTATCTGGTTCAATTGTATAGAATTACACCATATCAGCTAAACTAGCTGGTAAACCAGGGATGTTGACTGGTATGAGTTTCTCATCTAGTGTTATGTTGAATTTGTCTGTTAGAGTCTATTCCACCTTTTCATCTGTAAGAGTTGTGATTTCCACCAGATCCACGTTCTCCTTGTATTTCATCTCAGTGAGCGTCCATCCCACTAGGGCTCAAAGCCCATCAATGTTTTGAAGGCAAATTGACTTTTTCCTGAACCATGTATCCGAAGATGTCTGGAGTTATGAATTCAGTGACTGGAAGTCACTTATGCTTTGTGGCTCAAAACAGACAAAATTAGGAAAATGTATTTGTTCAGTTTTCAGATGATCACTGGTGGAAAAGTTTTGGTTGAGAATGCACTGCATCCTTTTTATTTTTTCAAAGTACCAGCTTTCATTGTCTTCAGGAAAGTGAAAGATTCCAGCAGTTTGAGACTGATCTTTCCCAGAAATCCCCATACTTGGTAGGTAATCACCAAAGCCACCATCCACAATGTAGGATTTTCCATCAATAATCACCTTCAGTAGAATGTGGTTTATCTGAGAAACATATATTTTTTCTGCCAGATCATAAGTGTTTCCCCCAAAGATAGAGACATCATACCCTATTACATGCAAAGTCCAAAATAAAAGGTGTTTATTTTCCATGCACCCCGTTTTTTCCTCACAATTTTGTTATAGATTGGTACTATGTCAAACTCAATTGTTTCCCCATGGTGCATGCTGAGGTTCTGAACAGTCAAAGTTTCCAAGTCCAGATTTTCATAGGAGCCTGTATAAGAAATTCTTGTGAAATATTCTCTGGCTTTCATTTTTCCTTTACATGGAGCAAAACAACTAAATGCAGTGGAACTGATCTTCAGCAACTCCCTATTTTTAAAGCACAGATTAACTGACCTGCAGCTTTACCCCTTGCCTCTGGGTCTAGCGTTTGAAAGAAAACTAAGGAGAGAGGTGCACACTGGAGCTATGTATCTCAATGTTTTCAAAACAGAAATAAAGTTAGGAGCAGGTAAGAATTGTGTAGCACCTTTCCAGCATGCTTCTATAACTAGGTCTTTTGTTGTACATGTGTATGTACGCACGTACGTACCGCATCCAGCACAATACAGGTTTGGTTTAAGACTGGAGTGGGTGCCAGTGCAATGTAAGTATAAATGGAGGTCAGTGTTATGAATTGACTAAGATTCCAGGCTGAAATCTAACACGTTAGCAATTTAACCAACAATATTTGCCTATACAATACATTTTATAACTAACACTTGGATAACCGTATTATTTGGCCCAGGGAATATGAGCTTACTCATTTAAAAGACAGGCCCATCTCAGATCATCTTGTTCCTTAGATAGTATTATTTAGATCAGGACAGTTGGTTACTCCTAACCCATTAATATACTTATTTATTCACCTGTATGTGCTCAAAATTTCCTTAAACAGCTATCAGATGTTCTGGGCATGTCTTGTATAAAGATATGCTGAATAGGGCTGTGTGAAACAGTACCGTTTTGCTGTTTCGATGGGACAGTGTTTCATTTCGAGTTTTGTTTAGTTTCGAAAGCATTGTTCCATTTCATTTCATCGAAACGGTTTCACTGTTTTGACGCTGTTTCGACGTTTCGCCCATAGGCTATAATGGGGAAGCACAAAACGGTGGTATCCGAAACAAACAAGGGGAGATTTCTACAAAATAACTTTGTGATTTTTTGGCAGATGTGGATGAAAATGGCAGGGACGGTAGCCCCTGCTGAGGCCACAAAGCCTGCCAAGGTTCAAGGAGATAGGTGCAGGGGTTTCTGGGAAACTGCGCCTCAGGCTGCCGACCAGCAAAACTTGTGTCACGTGTGCAGTTCGTAGGCTCGTCTGTGAAAAGTGATTTGTAAATTCAAACAAGCACTGAACCTCACTAACCTCATCACCAGAAGCCAACTTCCTACAGCCCAAAACACACCAAATGGATCCAGGCCATGCCATGACAAGACATGCAAAACCTGCCAACACTATCTCCAGTATGGAGATATCTTCACAATACCATCACATATCTCAGGTTTTTAAAAACCCGCTGCTTCAATGTAGGGCCCCCATTTCATCTACACATGCCCTAGGGCACTCCAACAACAGCCTGAAGCTGCTCCCAAGTCTAAGTCCAGCTCCTTGAGTCCATAGTCCTGGCTCCTCCAGCTCCACCGTGCAGGCCTCTGTAGGCCTGATGAGGTTCCACATTCAGGCTGCCCTCTCTTCCCCTTACTCCAGCCCCAAGCTTTGTCTTCCTTTTCCCCACACCCCCCAGCTCCTGGGGGTTTCTGGGAGCTGCAATCCAAATTAAGAGTCAGCTCAGCTCTGCAGACTGCCCCTGATTCCTCCTGTTGTTCCACACGTGACAGTCACATTACAATATTGTCATGTGAGAAGCCCTGATGTGCTAGATAAGTTGTGTGTTACCAGTCCACATGCCTAAAACAAGCTGGCAAAAATGATGAGATCCAATTCAGGTCTTGCTCATGTTAAGTTTTGTTCCCTCAACAGCCGATGTATTTCATTCCTCATTCCTGTATCTTTGCAGGATCGGTTTGGTAGGCAACAGGAATCGGACAACTGGGCTGTCTGGCTGCAAACTTCCCAGGGCATAGCTCTGTTTCCCTGGAGTTAGATGATAGATAAGAAATGATTCTTCACTGTTAGCATTAATGAAAGTTTGATTCCTTTGCATGCTGCTACATTATTTGAGTGGCAGGTGGATTGCATATGACCACGGAGCTGATTTTCATACACTATTTTTGGACGCGAACTAATTAGTTTAATTCCCAAGCACTTTTTCTTACAAAAAGCACAAATTTGGTCCTTCTACTTGGAAAAAAAAATGTTTGCTGCTTTGCAATGTGTTTCACTGCGTCAGCCCTATTTGCTTTTGTGACTTTCATTTCCCTTATATGAAGATGAAAGGAGGTACAAAATGGAAAGCAATGGAATGTTGCTGACCCAAAGCAAGCTAATCAGCAGCGTAAGCTAATTTCCATACAGAACAAATTGTGTCGAACAGATTAATTTAAAAGTAATACATCTGAGTACTCACCTGCAAACCAGCAAGCATCAGACTTTCTGTTCTGGCTCATTCCAAAAGTCTCTGAAAATGCTTGCATTGTACCCTCCTGGTCTTAAAGATCCATTTGCATTATGTGGCAACACCAGAAATGCTTCACTTTCTGTCGGATCCAGCTTGGGAAATGGGGGTATTGTCATCTGGGATATGGTGTATTGCTATGGACTTATTGTATCGAGGTAAGATTTAGAGATTCAGTCAGGAGCACATCTGTGCTACGAGCTGTTCAAAAGCAGACTGAGGAGATGGTCCCTGTCCCAAAGCATTTACAATGTAGGTACGTTTAAATGCTTGCCTTTACAGATATTTCTGAGGGCTGCACCCTTAAGCAATTGAAAGGGGTGGCGCCATTTATGTGCCGCTGAGGAAAATTTTCAACCCTCCAAAGTACCCCCAACCCTGCCTTCAAGGGACAAGAGTGTAGTTTGGTCTCTGTGGGCTGCTCAGTCCTTAACCCCTATGCTCAGCCTGCCCAACAAGGATGCTAGCTTGGATGGTGGAGTTTCTGCCACTTAGAGCCAGAGTGAAAACTAAGTTGAGACTGCTTCCACTAGCATCTCTGATCTGCTGAGAGGTGGCTGCGGCTTTTGAATTAAGAGCGCAGTGATGGTGAGTTCTTGTTTTCCAGTGCCAAACCCCTGCAGGGCACAGACCAAGACATCCGCAGGTGTTAGGTATCTAACTTTGGTTGACTTAAAAATCTGATCCTTTTCTTGTTGCCATGAGTTGTTCTGGGCTCTGATGTATTGGAGCTGTGCCTTTAAGGAG